GAAAAGTGCATGGTGTCTAGAAGTAAATTAAGATCTTTGTGTGGTGTATTAAACTTCTTAACCGTACTCTCAAGTTTTGCAACTTTTTCTTTTAAAGTCTTGCAAGATTCACATTCACTTGAAGAACTTTCTGGTTTGTCAGCACTTCTCTTACCATAAAATTTATTTTCTTGTTTCAACCTTTCATTATCTTTTTCCAATTTGTCAAAATCATTTTTAAGAGTTGAAAGACGTTTCTTTAAAGATTTATTGGTTTTAGAAGCGCTAACAAATTCATCATAAAGCTCATGAAGTGCTTCTTGCATTTCTTCAAAAGTATAAGAGTCGGAAGAATTGGTACATACCTCTTGAACGTCGTCAGTTTGATCTTCGTGCGCCATGAGGCAGAGGTTGGTGGCTTCCTCCTCTTATTGATCCGTTGACTCATCCCCGGAGTCGCCTCCCCAAGAGATGTAGGCGCGTTGCTTTTTGAAGCCAGTTTTGTCCTTGCCGCCTTTGCTTTTTGGACACCTCGGCTTGATGTAGCCTATCTCACCACAACCATAGCACTTCGGGGGCCCGTCGTGCTTTCTTCCTTTTCTTTCAAATTCTTTCTTCATGAATTTGTGGAACTTCTTGATAACGAGTCCGAACTCGTTGTCATCATCGCTTGAGTCATCTTCCACGGACTCCTTGGTTGCTTTCAGCGCTATACCCTTCTTCTTTTGTTCATCCAAAGACGGTGTTACAATAGTAGATTCATAGGTTTTGAGATTACCTCTAAGCCCGTCGATGGTGACATTCGAGACTCCGATGGATTCATAGATTGCGTCTGCATTTGATCTCCATTCGGGTGTGAGACTTCGCAGGATTTTTCTCACAAGATCCTTGTTGGTGTAAGTCTTCTTGAGTGCATGAAGGTCGTTGATGATTTTTGAGAACCGATCGAACATGTCATCGATCTTTTCGCCTTCCTTCATCCTGAACATCTCGTACTCCTGCGTTAGGAAGTCAATTTTGGCTTCCCGAACTTGGTCTGTACCTTCATATGTGACCTCCAGTTTGTCCCACATTTCTTTTGCAGTGGTGCAGCAAGAAATCTTGCGATAATCATCAGGATTGACGGCACAGTACAGCATATTGATAGTCTTGGCGTAGTTCTCCACCTTTTTGGGTGTTTTATATGTTAAGGGAAGATGAGAGGGGGATTTCAGAATGAGAAATGGAGGGATATTGTAACGCCCTAAAACATACCCTAAAATTTTTAATGAATAAATATTCAATTAGTCAAATTTGTTTCGATTAAAATAAATAGTTATTGGGCTTTGGGCCGAAATGAAATGTGTTTTGACATCCAATATCACAAATCAGGATAAGTCTCATAGAGATAAATCCAATATGTTGAGTATTTGTGTGGTCTTGATTGAGAAC